CATTTGCACTTAGAATCAATATGGCATGCATTTAGCTTAGGATTGCATACATTTGCATACATTTGCATATATGTGCATGTTTGTGGTGGTTTTCAGATGTTCTTGGAGATTCTTGGAGTTGGGAAGGAGATGAAAGCAGCTCATGATAAAAAAAGATGTCAGAAATGGAGCTTTTGCAAAGTCTGGTCCATATAGAGCAAGGATATCAAGCAGAACCTCCATGGAGTGTGCTCGATGTAAGATGCAGGACGTGAGGAAGAGGATCAGCACAAGGAGTCTAAGCCGTTGGTCTGCATCGAGTTCCAGCATCGAGCAAGGAAGCTGATACGCGCTGCACGAGCCATATCGAGGTCACACATCAAGCAGAACACCATCTATACCACCTCGATGCAACTCATCCGCACGATGACCACTTGACTTTTGTTAACCTTATCTTATTTTTTAGGTTTTTTATGTTTCTTTTGGCTCCCTACTATAAGAAGGAAGCCACAACATATTATCTTTATCCAAGTTTAGTCTTTATACAAAAAACTCGCTTCTCTAAACCTTAAAGGGCGATTTTGCCTTAGAATATTTTCTTTCAATAAAGTTTGCATTTTTATGGTTTAATCGTGTCTCTTGATCATTATTCTAGCACCCTGGTAGTTTAGATTTTTTATCTTTGCATTTTAATCTCATCTGATCATGTTTAACTTTAAGCAAATGGGATTAAACATGATTAGCGAGTAGTCTACCTGCTCATTGCTTAGCATTGAAAGATCTTGCCTTTGTTCCATCCTGCTCATTGCTTAGCATTGTTAGAGTGTTGAAGTTGTGTGCTTAAGTCCACATTCTTGGTTGGTGTTTATCTAACTAGGTCCTTATTGGTACACAAGATTGATAAGTTTATCTGAATTCTTGCTTGAGTGAGAGAATGATTGCTTGATTAGTACATCTCTTAAGCTAGAATGGTTCTGAAATTTATGCTCATGGTTGAAGAATACGCCATCACAAGTGGGTTTGACACTTCAATCTTGTTGAATATGAACTGCTTATTGACGCCAAGTTGGTTCCTTTTAGATATCTTGTCTAAGAGTACAACATTGAGAAATGCTTGCTTTTGAATGCTCGATGCTTGCATTTGTTAGAAATCCCTTTTTCACTCTTGAAAGTCATTATCCCACAGTTGCTTAGAACCTTGAGTCTTGCTTTTAATCAATTGTCTTAAGATCATCTTGCCTAGTACTGCTTTAGTTATCATTCTTGTTTATTTCTTGCTTAGTCAGTGCTTTAAGTTCAGTGCTTAGTTTTTATTACTTGCATTTAGTTTCTGCTTTCTTTCCATTGCATTGTTAGGTTGTTAGACTTGTGCTTGCATAATCAAAACCCCAATATTGATTAGCTTATGGCATTGTTTGCATCTCATTTTCCATAAATGATTGATACCTGATCCCTATTCTACAACTGATTAGAGGCTAAGGACATTTGGTTCAAGACCGAAAATCTTTTGTTTCAGTTACTTATCTACTATATCGAATGAATTAAAAAAAGACACAATTTGAGTTCATTATTAATAAATAAACATCTAAATTAGATAAATAAACTGCAATTAGATTAGTGAATGTGCCATAAATTAAATTACTTATATTATTAACATATATCAAACACAATCAATTATATTTTCATTAAAATTATTAATCAATTCTCAATTAACTCATAATTATATTATATTAAATTTTAAATACTATTTATTGTATTCTAAATTTTGGAAAGAGTATAAATTATGACCTAATTTAGAATTTACCTTTGGATAGAGTCAATTAAATCGAATTATAAGTATTGACTTTTATTTATAATGATTATAATCAACTCAAATTATAATCAACTTCTATAATGATTATAATGAACTCAAATTATAATGATTTATGTTTATTTATTAATAATTTGAGTAGTTTATATTCAATTTTTAAAATTCAAATTATAACACATGTACAAAAAAATCTATATATTTTTATTATATGGATGATGTGATAATTTATTTACTTTACAAAAGTAAGTTTAAATGAAAATAAGAGAAAAATAGATTTTTGGTAAAAAATATAATTAAATAAATAATTAATATGATATATTTTTGGTAAGAAATAAAAGCAAGGAAATATCTTAATACATTTAATGCTGATTTATAAAATGAAACATAACATATGTATGTACCTAAAATATAGAATGGCATATCATATAATTAGTCTAGTATCTAAGTCTTTTTTAAAATAATTAGCTGAAAATGAATGTGAGATTGACACATCAGCATAATGACAGCACTGTAAATACTTACAAAATAAGGTTACTCTTTAAAAATGCTTCTCAATTATTATATAGGGGATTGAGGAGAGGCTTTGGATTCTATCTTGCTGATCACATTATTGGCAATCAGTGAATTGGTTCATGTCTTTTGTATTTTATTTAAATTTTATTTTTCTACTTTTTGATATAGGATATATTCCCTAATACGTTTTTTTTTAGATAATAACTACTTTGAGCTATTAATTTGAGTACGTTTGGACAATAACTGATTAACCATCTTTATATCACAAATCAATTATGGTTGGGTTAGATTGTGTGAATCGGACTCTTAAATCAACCTGATTTTGATGATTTAGATTTTTCTCTTTCGCTATCGTCGATGTGGCCTCTTGCCGCCAACGAGAATTTTCTCCTTCCTTCCTCCTCTTTCTTTCTTCCATAGCCTTGTATCTTTTTGCTCCTCTATCGCAGCTGCTCAAAACTCCTCTAGATCTGCCGCCGAGTAACTTTCACCAGATATGCTTGAGGGGCTATTTTCCATCGAACCTCTCGACCCACCAGATCTGGCCGCCACCCATGGTCATAGATCTTTCTCCGTTGCTGCCACCTTCAACCCACCAACTACGCTCCTCCTTTGTCTTGGATCTAGGTTTTCAGCGTCTCGTATGGGAGTTTGATTTCCCTGTATCCTCTGGGGACTCGTATTTGGCAAATGGGTGCCCCTTTTCTGCAGTATGCAGTTCTGTAATCTCACCGCCTTCCCACCTTAAAAGCCCTGATGCCGCCTCTCCATCTCCTCGCCTTGGTGCCTTACTGTCTCTCCCACTTCTCGTCTTCTGTTTCTTTAATTTTGGAACAACTTTTTGCAGTATGGGAATCACTTGTTTTGTGGAGTCGGGGTATTTTGCTATCATTACCGAATGGTTCAATCCTCGTTATTTTCGTCCCAGTGCAGCTTTTTACTGCAGTATGTTGGGTTTGTCCTGTTTTCACTTTGACGGATGTTTCAGGTTCTTTTTCTAAGTGGCAGATTATGAAGAAAGCTTGTCTTAGTAGCCCTCTTCTATTAAATCGTGATTTGGACTTCTAAACTCCTCATCTGTTTAGAACAATTGGTAATAAACAGATTATATTGGTTTAATTGAGTTGAATCGTATTCAATTGTAGATTAGAATAAATTGAACACAAAATCATCCAATTTGAGCTCCTGCGAAAAACAACTGGGTAGAATTAGTATTACTGATAAATGTATAAATGTGGATAACTAGTCACTAGTATCACTGAGTAATAAAGTATAACTTGGTACAATTAGGTACAATTAGGTATTGCTGATTGTATAATTGTGGATAACTAATCACTAGTATCACTGATTAATAAAGTATAACTTGGTACAACTGGGTATTACTGATTGTATAACCGTGGATAACTAGTCACTAGTATCAATGATTAATAAAGTATAACTTGGTACAATTGGGTATTACTGATTGTATAATTTATCCTAGCTGATAGATCACTCAGAGTTCCTGAATGTGTGATAGAGGATGTTCCTATCAAAGTAGGAGATTGCATGATTCCTACTGATTTTGTGGTTCTGGAATATGGAAAAGAACCCAAAGACCCTTTGATTCTTGGTAGACCCTTCCTGGCTACTGTAGGAGATATCATTGACGTCAGAGAGGGTAGAATAGAGCTGAATGTTGGTGACTTGGTGATGCAATTCGAAATGGACAAGCTGATGAAGAGGCCAACCATAGATGGACAGACTTTTTATATGGATGTTCTTACCAACATTGCTGATCAGATCTTCCATGAGATGAGATCAGAAGACCCCTTGGAGAGGGCGTTGACCACTTCTCCAGCAGAATATGAGCATCTGGATGCTGCTGCAACAGGCTACACAAAGATTTACAGTTTCACTTATTTGGCGGGAAATTCACGAAATCAAAATTTTGACTGATCGTGTTTGGAATCACATTTTTAATGTAATATTTAAAGCAAATGTTTTTCATAGATTCATTTTTTGGCGGGAAATTAACAAAATTTAAATTTTGTTAAAATATTTTTAGATCATATTTTTGATGTAATTTTTTAGGTGTTAGAGTTACTTATTCATAGTTTTGGCAGAAAATTTGCGAAATGAGTTTTTTGATTAAACGTTTTTGGAATCTTATTTTAAATAAATATTCACAAGTACAAGTGTTTTTGTGAAATTTGTGGAATCAGATTTTTAGAAGGAGAATTTTTTCACCTTTATTATCATCTAACTTTGTCTCATTAAAAATAAAGAACAAAAGTTTATATTATAAGTATGTACTCCAATTATATAGCAAGAATTACAAACCAGAAATAAGACGAAAAGTGACAAAATGAGATAAAAAAAACTATAAAAAAGATGAATAAATATGAATAAAAAATCAAAAATGAAGAATAAAGAAGAATCATAATATTTGATTTTACGTTTTTCTAAAGTATTTTAAGTTTTGTATATATTTTATTTTTTGTAATATATAATTTCTCAAACCTTTTAAAATATATTTTCACAGACTAAAATGTTTTACAAATATATTGTTGAACAGATCAATCATTTATTTATTATTAAAAATAATTATTATTCTTAATTATTTTTTATCAAAATTCTCATGTCCACAGATATGTGCAGGCCAACCATCTGGTTTGCCAACTAAAAACGAATCTGTAATATTCGTATACTATTAAATACCAAACAATGTAACATTTATCTTTATTAAAAAAAAAACAATGTAACATTTTTATTTATAATAGATATATAGTATTCGTATGTAGTACCAAGGGAACTTATGCTCTACATTTTGACTGTATCAATTTCGAATTAATAAAAGTAGATACGTTGAAAAAGAAAAAAGAAAAAAAAAGAATCCGGCTTGTTTCACGCCGCCTTGTTTCTATAGGATACACCCACTACCGTCGGAACAATGGCTGAAATGCCACTTTGTTGAAAAACTAATCTCGGATGCCATCATCTTATTTAAAATTTTTTTTTGATTTTTTTTTAAATCAAAACGCAGGAAATACCCTTTAAACTCTTACTGAAGTAAAAAAATTACACAACCTAACCATTCAAACTTGCTAACTCAACTAGAATCCATCTAATTTTTCTTTTCTTTCGATTATCATCTTAGTTTCTTCATCGAGTTCTTCATCTAAGAATTTTTTTTTAATTCCATTGATTCAATTGAAGGAGGAGGAGACGATGAATTTCATCTTACTACCACGGATCTCAAGTCTCTCCTCCACACAGACGGCAGGCTCTCCTCGGTGGCGTCATCGTTTCTCCGCTGCTTCTCTGCCGCCATGGATGCACACTTCTGCTCCGATGTCTCTTCCCTTTCCTTAATCTTCAGTTTCTCAGCATAACAGCCTCGACCTCTACTTACTCTCTCTCACTAAGGTTTTCTATTTTCCTCTTCGTTCTCTGTTGAATTGCATTTTCTGATATTTTTTCTGTACTCTTTTGAAGTTTAGTCCTGTCATGTCTGAAGATTCGTGTGAGTTTCTTGGCACGTCTCTTATACTGGAAGCTATGCTGCTGTGTCGAGATTCTTTATTGCATTCTCTGCTTATTTTTTAGGTTTAGTTCAGCAATGACTGTTATAGCAATTTCAGGGCTCAAAATTCTGCGACTTAATTGATTTTTACGGTTCTCCATAGTTTTGGTTTCAATGAATGATGATGTGTGGATTTGTTTTTTGTCCTGGCGAGATTGATATTCTTTATGCAGTACTGCGATGATATATTTGAGCCGAAGCTGGAAGAGCTCATTAATCAGTTGAGGGAAGGTGATGACGGCATGGATGCATGGCTAACTGAGCATTTAACTAATCGATTTTCCTCTCTGTCTTCACTAGATGATCTATTAAATTCCTTTATTGACGTACGAGGTTAGCTTCCTTGTTTTCATCATGTTTAGAGCCTTGATTCTAGAGTTGTGCAAGATGAACAGATTATTTTGGATCCGGACAGCAACTTGGGAATGTTTGTTCGCCGTTGCATTTTGGCATTTAACTTTTTATTGTTCGAGGTATTGTGCTTGTTTTTCTTGTTTTATCCAGCTTAAGATCCTATAGTAAGTGTTTGGTTTTTATTTAGAGTTTTGCATAATTTTTTTGGAGGGTACAGTTTTCCTTCTGTTTGCAGCATGATCCTGCTTGTCGTGTGATTGCTAACCAACATATTCAAAAGTAAAAAAAAATCAGTGAGTTTCGTTGGGTGGAACAAGCAAAATCCAAGTTACATGGCCACCATTATCATGGACAGTGCTAAAGTCGTGGTGTTCAACATTCATATTGCTAGTCCTTCAATGGTGGAGCTTCAGCAACATCAAGCTATGGAATTTTTTATCCGGATTTTTGTGAAAACTATAAAAAATATAATGTTTGTGAGGTACAACTGAAATAAATAGTTCGACTGAGTTCGATTGAGTGAGTTTTACGGTTTAACCGAGTTTTATTAAGTTCAACTGGATTTTATTAAGTACAATGGATAACACCATTAACGAGATACAACTGAAATACATGGTTCTATTGAGTGAGGTTTACGGTCCAACTGGGTTTTATTACGTTCAACTGGATTTTATTAAGTACAACGAATAATACAAGTAACGAGGTGCAACTAAAATACATGGTTCGAATGAGTGAGTTTTACGGATTAACTGGGTTTTATTAAGTTTAACTGGATTTTAGTAAGTACAATGAATGACTTAAGTAACGAGGTACAACTGAAATACATGGTTCGACTGAGTTTAACTAGATGAGTTTTAGGGTTTAAGTGGGTTTTATTAAGTTCAACTGAATTTTATTAAGTACAATGAATGACACAAGTAACGAGGTACAACTGAAATACATGGTTCGATTGGGTGAGTTTTACGGTTCAACTAGGTTTTATTAAGTTCAACTGGATTTTATTAAATACAACGAATAACACAAATATCGAGGTACAACTGAAATACATGGTTCGACTGAGTAAGTTTTTTCAGTTCAACTGGGTTTTTTTAAGTTCAACTGGATTTTGATTTTGAAAAAAAATATGCAGCGAAAAAGTGAAAAATTAGAAATTTTTGAAATAAAATATTAACATAGTTGTACCCAAGTTAATAGTTGAATAAAAATCTTAATAGTTGTACTTTTACGATTTTAAAGTATTTCTAGTTGAACCTTTGTATAAATTATTATAGTGTAGTTGTACAAATGATTTTGGTCTTTTTATTATCATTTACAACGTTTTCATAGAAACATTTCTGTATAATCTAATAATTTGTTTTTTTGCATCATAATAGGGTAACATTACATAAGTCTTCCTTATAATGGAAGATGTGCTTGATGTGAAAACAAAAATATATATTTTAAAACCGATAAGTCAATGTCATCTATATTATTAATTCTTTCTTTATAGTCGAATATGTGTTTAAACTTCTTAGTTGGTTTATTTTTTTTTTATGATTTTTCATAATTATTTCATTTTTTATATAAAAATTGAAGCATAGTTGAACCAAATGAACATAGTTGTACCAACAAAACCGACAAATGAAAAACTATAATTATTAGCTAATTTAGATGTTATGTATTTATTACATATTAATAGTATGTATGAAGTAGATATTGAGTTAATAACTTTTTGTATTTTTTGTATAAAATAGATATTAGGTACAACTATTACGAACAACTGAATTTTGAAATGAATTAAAATAAATTGCGAGAATAAAACAAAAAAACACGTGTTCAACAAAAACAAACGGCGGAAAAAACATGTGTTAAAAGAAGGTGACATCATCAAAAACAAAACCTCATTTAATACATAGAGCCAGTAATTTAAAAATATTTAAAAAACTTATGTCGCAAAAAGTTAAAAATTAGAAAAATTTGCAGTATATTAACGTAGTTGTACCCAAGCTAATAGTTGAACAAAAATCTTAATAGTTGTACTTTTGCTATTTTAATATATTTCTAGTTGAACCTTTGTATAAACTATTATAGTGTAGTTGTACAAATAATTGTAGTCTTTTAATTATCATTTAAAACATTTTCATAGAAATATTTATGTATAATCTAATAATTTACCTATTTTACATCATAAGAGAGTAATATTACATAAGTATTTCTTATATTGTAAGATATGCTTGATGTGAAAACAAAAATATATATTGTAAAACTGATAAATCAGTATTATCTATACTATTAATAATTATTTTTTATAGTTGAATATGTGTTTAGACTTTTTAGTTAGTTTATTTGTTTATGGTTTTTCATAATTGTTTAATTTAATTACTTTTATAAAACTGAAGCACAGTTGTACCGACTTTATGTGATATAGAAATTCATACACAACCATCACGGATGTGATTAAATGTGATGTGAATAACTTCTTCCATAGTTAAAATGTATGCTTGTGTGGTTGATGCTCATTCTCTCGTGAAAATAGAATAAAAATAATCAGTCTCAGTTGTATCACAATTGTACCAGTTGAACACAATCTCTTAGTTGTACCATTTCGTACTACTTGTATTCTAACTCTCAGTTGTACCAGTTGTACTATTTGTTCTATAATTGCATATTGGGTGAACTCAAGCTCGGATTCTACATAAAAATCTAATTAACATAACCATATTCTTCTTACAAATTACCAAAGATAACGTTAATCTATTATTGGGGATACCGTATATTCTCCTAAATAACAATATGTATAATTACCTTATTCTAGATAAGTACAACTTCCTAAGGTCGACATTAGCTAGCTGACATAACTTTGTATAAATACTATTGATCATCGTTAATAAGAATCATTCAGTTCGGTATCTAAATCTACATGGTATCAGAGCACAAGATTTTCTAAAAACCTAAATTTTTGTTTCTCTGGCTTGTGACTCAAGTTTCTTTTGCTTATCTTTCTTCTCCATTGATCGTGAATCATGTCTGAAGTTACTTCTTCTTCTGGTGCTCCCGCGAAGGTTGACGATGTCGTCTGAATCTCGCCTTATTCTTTGTATGCTTCCGATAACCCAAGAGCAATGATCACCTCGGTTCAGTTAACCGGTGAAAATTACAATGAGTGGTGCTCGAAGATGCTTAATGCTCTTCAAGCTAAACGTAAGTTAGGGTTTATCAATGGTATATTGACAAAACCTGACGTTACCACTCCCGATTTGGAAAAATGGTACTCCATGCTTGTCGGATGGATTCGTGCATCTATTACGTCTAAAGTTCGGTCGACGGTGACATACATCACCGATGCTCACTTATTATGGTTGAATCCAGTGCTTCTCGGTGGGAAACAGGGTGAGAGTTCATCAAATCAAGGCTCAGTTAATGATGTGTCGACAAGATGGCCAACGCGTGTTAGATTACTTTGGTCGATTGTCTACCTTAAGGGAAGAACTGCAAGTTTACCAGCTTGTACATGTTTGTTCTTGTGGAGGAGCAAAGACTATTGAGAAGGAACGGGAATGCGAGAAGATTCACCAGTTTGTGTTGGGACTTGCTGATTCACGCTTTGGAAGCATCTGTACTAATATCATCGGAACTGATCCTCTTCCTCCTCTTGGAGAAATCTATAACAAGATAATCCATGAAGAACAGAGGCTGTCCTCTGCTCGCAACCAGACTCAAGATGCTGTGGGCTTTTTCGCTCGCAGAGACAATTCTCAATCATCCCTTGCAGCACCACAACAACAACCAGCTTCATTGTCTTCATCAGAAAATCAGGATAAAATAGAGAACTTAATTCTGCGTTCCAAGGCACTATGTTCTCATTGTGGAAGAACATGACATGACAAAAAGGACTGCTGGCAGCTCGTGGGGTTCCCCGATTGGTACCTTGAACGCAGTCAAAGCTCTGGGAGAGGACAAAATAATGCAGGACGGGGCAGAGGAGGCCGCAGTACAAACTCAAACAATGCCGGACGTGGACGTAGTCATGCTAATGCTGCTCATGCTATAAGTTTAAATTCATCCCTGTTTCCGGAGTTCACAGAGGACCAATGGAAGGTGCTCACACAATTAGTTCAATCCAAGCCATCCAATGCCTCTGATAAGTTGTATGGTAAGACTGATCTTGGTGATGTCATTCTTGATACGGGTGCTTCGCACCATATGACCAGAAACCTCTCTCTTCTATATGATGCTGAGACAGTTCATCCATGCTCTGTCGCGTTTGCGGATGGAAGTAAAACATTTGCAACGAGCATAGGATCACTTGCTTTGCTCGGTCTCGTGTTCTGTATGTCCCAAACTTAAATTGCACGTTTATCTTGGTTGCTAAACTGTTAAGACAGACAAACTGTTTCGCTATATTATCTGACACGATTTATGTTTTACAGGACCGTTCTTCGAGGACAATGATTGGAGCCGGTGAAGAGCGTGATGGTGTGTACTACTTTATGGATAGTGTCTCGGAAAAAGGTCATCAAGTAGTTGGAGTTTCTGACAAAGCTTTGTGGCATCAGCATTTGGGGCATCCGTCGTTTTCAGTGTTTTCAGATTTAGATTTATTTTCTGGTTCAAAGAAATCTGCTAGTTTTAGTCCTTGTGACATTTGTTATAGAGCTAAGCAAACCCGTGAAGCCTTTTATGATAGTATGAATAAAACAAAGGAATGTTTTTCTCTTATTCATGTCGACGTATGGGGGCCTTACCGTGTTCCTTCATCCTGCGGGGCTGTATATTTCTTGACGATAGTAGATGATTTTTCTAGAGCAGTTTGAACCTACTTGCTATTAGAAAAGTCGGAAGTTCAGAGTGTGCTAAAGAAATTCCTTGCGTATACAGAACGTCAATTCAACAAGCTTGTTCAAACAGTTATAAGTGACAATGGTACAAAGTTCATGGTTCTCTCCTCATTCTTCAAGGATCATGGAATCATCCATCAAACATCGTGTGTCGCAACACCACAGCAGAACGCAAGGGTCGAACGCAAGCATAGGCATATCCTGAATGTCTCTCGCGCCTTGCTTTTCTAGGCGAATCTCCCCATTAAGTTTTGGGGCGAAGCAGTTCTCACGGTTGCTTATTTGATTAATCGTACCCCGACATCGATTCATCACGGTCTCTCCATTTGAGATACTTCATGGTGTTAAACCAGATTACAATCAGCTTCATGTCTTTGGCTCTGCATGTTATATTTATCATGTAGTTCGAGACAAGGACAAGTTCGTCCAATATAACTTGTCTATCCAGAATACATAGTTACCAATTCAAATCTTTAATTTTTTAAATTCAAATCCCTAATTTTACAAAATATCTCCAATTAAACAAGATAATTCACCTTAAAAATTGGATTTTTAATAATGGCAAAGAAAAAGAGAAGAAAGCAATTGCAAAAGAGGAGAAAGAATCATAATCTATATTGAAAAAGAATGTTGACCGAATAAATTTTGTAGAAATAAATTGGGCGGAGAAAATGAAGAGCTCCTATGAAAAAAGATGAAGAATTAAGAAAAATATAAAATATTTTTTATTTTATTTTTTATTTTTATTTTATTTATATAATTTATTATTAATTCATTTTCAGTAAGAATAATTTAAATATTTTATATTAACTTGACTTAATGAATGACATTAGATTAATCAGTCGCACATCAGATCAACTTTTTACAAATTAGATCAACTTTTCACAAATTGTGGGTTTTGAGCTCTTCGCTCACTACCGTCTTCTCTTTCTTCTTCCTTCCCGAGGCCAATCTGTGCAACAACTTACTATCTCTCTCATCCAAATATCGAAGCGACATCGTTTTCCAGGTTACTCCACAGTCACATCCATGTCCAGGGAAGGAGACACCACCCTCAAGTCTATCTGCTACAAGCCTGGCTCTCTCCGATTAATTGATCAGGTTCCTCAAAAAACCCTTACCCTTTTACCATTTTTTGAGAAACTTCACAAATCAACGCTTCTTCTAATCTAAAATTTTATCTGAAATTCGGAGCAGAGGAAGCTTCCTTTGGAGACCACTTACTTAGAGATCCGTGATACTACAGATGGATGGTAAAAATCATAGCTTTTGATCGATTAGATTCTTCCTTAAATGTATTAATAGTTTCGATGTTCCATTAGGAGTGCAATTCAGGAAATGGTGGTGCGTGGTGCTCCTGCTATAGCCATTGCTGCAGCTCTTTCTTTAGCTGTTGAAGTTTTCAACTTTAATGGTTTTGATGGATCATCTGAAGATGCTGTTGCTTTTCTGGAGAAGAAGTTAGATTATTTAGTGTCAAGGTACTAACTTTGGATGGATTATTAGATATATTTTGCATCTTGTGGTGCTTGTGAATCTAAAGTTCTTTTCTTTATATACGTTTTCTCTACAGCCGACCCACAGCAGTTAATCTTGGAGATGCTGCATTGAAACTTAAACAGGTTATAGCAAAGGCCTTGGCTACTACTACCAATGAGCCCAAGTCCATTTTTAAGGTAATAAGACATTTCTTAAGAGCCAAGGGTTTTGTTTTGTCTTTCGGATACTCGATTTGGACCTAGGAACGATGGCGTCGTCTTTGAATGTACTTTTATTTGGGTCTGGACTGAGGAACGATATAGCTCAAGGGACTCGAATTGGACTTAGGAATGATAGCTTCGTCTTTGAATGTACTTTTTTTTGGCTTTGGAGTTGGACTGAGAAATGATATAGCTTAGGGAACTCGATTTGGACTTAGTACAGATAGCTTCTTCTTTGAATATACTTTGTTCGGCTGCGGACCAAGGAATGGTAGCTTAGAGAACTCGATTTGGACTTACGAATGATAGCTTTGTCTTTGAATGTACTTTATTCGGCTTTGGACTAAAGAATGATAGCTGAGAGAACGTGGTTTGGACTTAGGAACGATAGTTTTGTCTTTGAATGTTCTTTACTCTGTAATGATTCTTTTTTCTGTATCATTTTATCTGCACAAAGCTGAGCCTTTCTCTTTTGTAAGTTCTCTTCATTTTCTGTCATTCCTTAGGCATATATTGAAGCTGCTGAGAATATGCTCGAAGATGATGTCGCTTCAAATAAAGCAATAGGAACGTTTGGTTCAAGCTTATTGAGGCAGCAAGCTAAAAATCCTGACAAGCTTTCTGTTCTGACCCATTGCAACACTGGCAGGTATCTGTTTATGCAGAAAAACAGAATTTGCTGTAGATTTAAAGGGACAGTTACTGTTTTACCTAAACAAAAGCTAGAGAGAGCTTCCATATCTTAATGTGCTTCGTAATGTGGTTGTTTGAACGAATGATCTACTTATAGTATACAAAAATCAGTAACCATATATTTTTATTGCAAAAAAATCACTGAAGCTTAGTAATAGCATGCTACTTCATATATACCCTATACGCCTTCAAATCAACCAAATGGAGTTGTGTAATATGTTTATGTACAAGTAAGGAAGTTTCTGAAATTCCCTTTTCTATGTAGCCTTGCTACTGCTGGATATGGTACTGCCCTCGGTGTTATCCGTGCACTCCACACTCAAGGAGTCTTAGAAAGAGCATACTGCACAGAAACTCGTCCGTTCAATCAAGTAAAACTCCACAACTAATGTTTTTTCTTCTTCTTTTTTGAATACGATAAGTTGTTTGGGACGTTAGCTGCCTGTAGTTTGACATTTGGATCCATTGCTTAAGATATTTTTCATATTTCTGTTGAACTGTTGTTGAAAGTCTTTTGAATAATTAAGAATGCGACAATTGACAGGGATCGAGACTTACAGCGTTTGAGTTGGTGCATGAGAAAATCCCTGCAACTCTCATTGCAGATTCAGCTGCAGCTGCACTGATGAAAGATGGTCGTGTAGATGGTGTCATCGTTGGAGCAGACCGCGTAGCTTCAAATGGTGAACTCAAAATAATCTGTTTTTCTCCATAAACCTGTTGCGTTTATGAATCACTTGCTCAAAATCCAATTCATTCATATCCATTTCCAGGTGATACTGCTAACAAGATTGGGACTTACAGTCTCGCCCTTTGCGCAAAACATCACAAGATCCCGTTTTATGTTGCTGCACCTCTAACCTCGGTTGATCTTTCGCTTTCGTCCGGGAAAGAGATCGTTATAGAGGAAAGATCGCCAAAGGAGCTTCTGAATACACATGGAGGACTTGGTGAACGCATAGCAGCACCAGGGATCTCTGTTTGGAACCCGGCTTTTGATGTGACTCCAGCTGAGCTAATTGCAGGAATCATAACCGAGAAGGTTCGTTTCTTCAAGCTTTACTTGACCCGGTTATTATTATCGGGTTTAGATAAACCGGAAGATTTGTATGCACACTTTATCTCAATTTTCACAACGTGTATGTTATATGTGCAGGGAGTGATAACAAAGAATGGTAATGATGCATTTGACATAAGCAGCTTTGCTCAAAAGTAGTCAGCATTGCGATTTGCAGATATTTTTTCTCCTCTCTATAACTTGCAATAAAGCAACACTACGTTGTAACACAAACAATGAGCGTTGTAATGTTTTACCATTACAAACAGGGAGTTATGTAATGGTAAAGATTGTCTGTAGCTTAATCTATCTATTACTACTAAAAGTTAATGATAAATGCCTCTAAAGATGTTCACATATGATTTAAAAGGTTCAATTCTATTAGTACACATCATCATTTATAATTAATTATATATATTAAAATAGATATAATTTCGTTTTTATTGTTATTAGTAAAGTTTCTAATTTTTTTTTATTATTAGGAAAGTTTCTAATTTTTTAGATAATGATTAATAAAAACGAGTTTAACAATAAATATATTATTTTCTTATTAACAATAAAAAGAAAATTAACATATTATTAGATTATAAAAATCATATAAATTATAAAAAAATATTTCATTGATCCACATCATTTTCTATAATTAATTATATTTTTAAGTTAATTATTTTTTTTTTTGACTTATTAAGGAAATTTTAAAATATAAGTTAATATTATAGACCTCTAAGAGTGTCCACATAGGATTTAAAAGATTTAATTTCTATTGGTACACATCATTATCTATAGTTTATCATATATATTAAAATTAATTTAATTTAACTTTAATTGTTATTAGTAAAGTTTCTAAATTTTAATTAATTTAATATTTGTCGTTATTAAGAAAGTTTCTAAATTTTTAGATAATTATTAATAAAACAAGTTTAACAATCAAGATATTATTTTCTTATTAACAATAAAAAAAAATTAACATATTATTAGATTATAAAAAAATCATATAAATTATAAATAGATTCAGTTCATTGGTCCACATCATTTTCTGTAATCAACTATATATTAAGTTAATTATTTTCTTTTTTGACTTATTAAGAAAAGTTTCAAATTTAAATATTATACTAACTAATAAAACATATAAAGATAAACAAATCATGTAGAATAAAAAAATTAACTTAATATAAGATTAAAAAAAAAATAATATATAAAAGTTGATAGCACGGTGCATTGAAGACGTCTACATAGGACGAAGAAACTTAATCAGATTGGTCTACATGAGCTCTTTCAATAAATAAAAAATGTTAAGTATGATTAAAACTTTAATTGTGTTTTAAAAAAAGAAAAATTAAACAAAAAATTTAAGTAACAATTAGAATAGAAAATTTATGTTAAAAAACAGAAAATAGTATCTTTAAAAAATAAAATAGAAATTTGTTTTCAAAAGGGTTAAAATAACAAAAAAAACAATACCATAAAAGTTTAAACTTATAATATAGATTAGAAAAGTTCTAAATTCTAAATTATTTGTCAATAAAATAAAAATATTAATTTCGTTTTATAGATGGAAAAATCAAAACAAAAAAGAAAACTATGTTAAAAAATCAAAATATAGCATCCGTCAAAAATTAAAACATTAATTTCGTTTTATAAATGGAAAAATTGAAATAAAAAGGCTTAAATAACAAATAGAAAAGAAAATTATGTTAACAACTTGAACAAATAATATCCTTCAAAATAAAATGAAAATTTGGTTTCAAAAGAGATAAACTAACAAACAAAAACAAATATCATAAAAGCTCAAACTTATAATATAGATTAGGAAAATTCTAACTTCTAAATTAATTGAAAAAAAAATATTAATTTTGTTTTACAGATGGGAAAATAAATAAAAAGCTTAAGTAACAAATAGAAAATAAAATCATATTAAGAAAACTAAAATAAAATATCCCTTAAAATTAAATAGAAATTTAATGTAAAATAGTCAAATTAACCAAAAAAATAATATCGTAAAAGTTAAAACTTATAGCATAGATTAGAAAAATATATAACTTATAATTTACACATATAAAAATATATAATAATAACATCATATACTGTCTAGATGCTATTAGAAATTGATCATCATCAACGACGAGAACTTTCTTTGTCCAATTAAGCTTATGATATCGCTAATGGTAGAAGTCATAATAAAATTAATATAAAAAAAAATTAACAAAGAAAAAATATTTATATAAAAGAAATTAATGTGATGACTATGATACTTTTTTGGAAAATCAACAACAAAAGAGCTTAATAAAAAGTATATAAGTCCTAAATATATCAAACATACAAAAAAGTATGTAATTTAAAGTAAATAAAAAATTACTATCAAAAGATGTAAATTATCAAAAAATAATTAAATTAAAATTAATTTAAAATTAGTTTCAAAAATTTCATGATTTCTAAAGTTTTAGTATCAACAATAAAGAACTATCTAAAGTTTCAATAGGTTTACATAAGTTTCTAAACTAAACATATGTTTCTGATTTAAAAACTAACAAAAAAACACTACATAAATAATTTTACACTCGATATATAACAAGTACTAAAATCTGATTTCTATACATAGCCACTACTTATATCTGAACCAACATCAATAACACATTCTAAATTCTATTTAAATAATAAAGTATGACATAGTTATGAATCAAACTCAAATTGGTATATGTAGATAAAATATTCAAATGAAAGCATGTATATTGCACACAAAAAAAACCATGAAAAATAATGCGAAGACTCCACACCACCGATCCTACAAGTTATAAAACTAAAATTATCAAATATTAGACTGTAAAAAAATAGATATCAATAAAAACTGAATAAACATATAAGCTAAAACTCTAAGAAGACATGGTGGACAAGGAAGAAATGGTTTTGCATAATCATTGTACCTTCCTAACAAAATTAAATGCGAATCAACATAAATCATGGACTATATATGCAATGGTACACAACATCAATAATATTTTCAATAAAAAAATAAATATTCGAACACATAAACCTTTAAGAAAAAAGAACTATAGAAATTCTATGAAAAAAGAACAAAATACCAAAATCTTAGAAAGAAAATCTTTCTCTGGATCAAATGTAGATGTATGTCAAATGAGGATAATTTGATAAGTTTCATTGTTATTATTTTACATAATAATTTTAATAATTTTATAAATATAAATAGGAGAAAATTACAAATTAATTATTAAATTCTCTTATATAAATAAAAATTTCTATAAATATATTATAGTTTTAATAATTTAAAAAATAGTAGCAAAAAAAGAATTATATCAAACTATTAATACAGACTCGCGCGTAGCGCGAGTTATATACCTAGTTACTAATAAAAGTTAATGCTAAATGATTCTAAGGGTGTCCACATAGGATTAAAAGATTCAATTATATTGGTACACATCTTCATTATATTTAGTTAATTATATATTGTATATTAAAATTAATTAATTCATTTTAATTATTATAAGAAAAATTTCTAAATTTTAATTAATTTTGTTTTTGTTGTTATTGGTTACTAATAAAAGTTGATGCTAAATGCCTCTAAGGGTGTCCACATATGATCAAATGATTCAATTCTATTGGTACACATCATCATTATATTTAATTAATTATATATTGTATATTAAAATTAATTAATTCGTTTTAATTATTATAAGGAAAATTTTTAAATTTTAATTAATTTTGTTTTTATTTTTATTTGGAAAGTTTATAAATTTAAAGTTAGTTATTAAAAAAAAGAGTTTTAAAAATAGATCTTATTTTTCTATTAACAATAAAAAGTTAAATTAACATATAAATAGATTATGAAAGAAAATCATATATATTAAACAAAATTATTAAAAACTGCATTTAAAATCATAATTAAATTTTTTAAAAATTGTAATCACGACAAACAATTAAAATCTGAACTGCTAACTTAAATATATTAGTTGTAGTCTGTGTTAATGTCTTAAGCTAATGAGAGCGTCCACATAGGACATATATATTCAATCTGATTAGTCTATATCAGCGTTTTTCATTAAACATAATAAATAAAAAATATAATTAATAATTTAAATAAATTAAAAAACAAAAATATAAAATTATCACAATAGAATGGAAAATTAAGATAATTTTTTAACTAAATTAAATAAATTTATGTCAAAAGACTAAATCTATTGTGAAAATAAAATGGAAACTCATTCTCACAAAAACTAAACTAACAAAAAAAATTTGTAAATCAATAATGAAAAAGTTAAATTAAAAAAAAATTAGCATATATATTTTAAATAAGAAATTTATTTAGAATAAATATTAATATTAAATTTTTTTATAAACATATTAAATTGTTATTTAAAAATATCAATACCACCCAAAAAACATTCATCTTAAATTATCAAAAAAAGAAAGTTATCTAAAACTTATAATTTTGGGGGAAATATTTAAAAAATTAACACAAAAATCTTAACAAACCAAAATGATACTTTATGCTAATTACTAAAAAAAGCAATATAAAAAAATGTTTAACTAACAAAAACCAAAACATAAATTATTTCTTACAACACGTCAATACAATTAAAATGAAAGTCCATATTGAGAAAGTTAAATTAACAAAAAAAGAGGATATTAACTTAATATCTATGTTATTTATTTAACAAAATCAATATAAACAGAATAAGTAAGAGAATAAAAAATTTAAATAATACTAACAAATTTAACTAACAAAACTAATATAAATATTTAAGCTATTTATTTAATAAATCAATATTAAGAAATTAATAAACTAAAAACTAAAAAGAAAATTAAGTTTTACAAAATATTTTTTTTTAAAAAAAAACATAAAAATATATTGACTTAATATCTGACTAACTACTTAAAAAATTCATATAAAAATATTTAACTAACAAAAAATTTATGTTTTTAAAATATCAACATTTTAAAAACAATGGTGTGTTAAAATAAAATAAAAATCAATATCAAGAGAGGTAAATTATCAAAGGAAAAAACCGTATAAAATAAAATTAGCTTGCTATTTAGGCTAACAACAAACAAATATTAACTAAAAAAAAGCAAATGATAGTATAAGCTTTTGAGAGAAGTTCACTTAAAACTTAGAATAACCAGTTATAGCATGTCAAAATAAAATTTTAATTAATTTAAAAAGTAAATTTAACAAAGAAAAAGTATTTATGTAAAATATATTAGATTAATATATATGCTCACTAATTGAAAAATCAATAACAAAAGAGATTAATTAAAAATATATATGTTTTAAGTATCAAACCTGCAAAAATTAGATAATTAAAATAAAATATAAAATTACCATTGAAGATATTTAAAATAACAAAAAACAAGATCTAAGAAAAAAATTAGTTTGAAATATAGTTCC